TTTTCTCTGTTTTTTTTCCATATAAAAAATTTCAAAAATCTTGTCCAATTATAAGATAAGAGAAAATATTGACTTTTGCATATTTCAATTATTCTTACATCAGAGTGCAATAAATTAATTTTATTAACCCAGATATAAACTCAGTACTTTCTTATTCAAAATTTACAATATTCAATAAAAAAAAAATTCAAATTTGCTACTCCGAAGTAGAACAATTTACTTTAAGTCTAAAAAATATCTAAGTAAGAAGATTTACTCACTCGTCTTCCTAATATTTGGTTGATCGCGGCACTCTCTTTTAAGGTACACTCTGCCACAACCTTCGCCCTCATTTCCTTCATATACAGCATAAACGCATTCAAAGGCTTTTTTATATGGGGTTTCTTTTTATCTGTTGAAACAACAACGAGATTAAATAAACCATTCACTTTGAACAATGTCAGGCCTCTCTAATACTACGATTATCTACATGTGATTTCAAATATCCTTAAATCCTTACCTTGATTGTTTTGTTGTCCCGTGTCCTGAGCTTTCGCATTGTCCGTAGGTAACGATGTGGAGTTTTTCTGTTCTATCGTTGACCTGCAACACACATGTAAGACTCAAGATGAATTTATTGGCCGCGATTAACGCTGATACTACAAAGCCCATTGATCACATTTGTGTACCGTTTATTGAAGTAGGACTGTTTAACCTCGGAATTGAGGGATTCAGATTTCGCACAGGACAGGGGGTAGGTCGGTGCGGAGTTCTGGGATAGCTGGTCAGACAGGTTCGGTGGCGTCGGTGTTGGCGTCGGTGTTGCGCCGTCAAAATAGGATGGCGCAGTCGGTGGAAGCGTCAGCGGGCTCCTCAGAAAGCTCTGCGGCAGTGGCCAGTTCATCTGCTGCCACATGCGATGTCGTGCCTCCACCATCGCCAGCAGCTGCATAAAGCTTTGCTGTTGCTGCTGGCTGGCGCCGTATGGCGGCGGCGCAATGCCGCGCGGGGCGCTTAAGTTCGACATTTGCACGAGACTGCTCATGTAGAGCGCGGTCAAGAGTTTGTGATCCGCGGTTGGTAAACCACCGGACTCGGCAGACTTGACAGCATCCTGGAGTATCGCCATATTATCCTCGATCGCGCTCTCCTCAGCCACAACAGCGTCCTTATCCTCCTCGTCGATCGACGCTTCTGCGATCTTTACACCAATCACAGTCCTGGTCGGTCCGCTGTCTTCAGTGTCGTCCTTTTTGATCACCAAGTTCAGCGGCTCCAGGCACTCGGCTGGCTCCATCGCCACATACGGGACTACCTCGTGCTTAAAGCTCGTGGGCCGACCGCCGAAGTGATCCAAATCGATCCATGGAACGATCCTAAACGCCACACGATCTCACTCGGTCGATCCCGAGTGCTATTGTTCGGGGATTAATTATCACGAAATGAACGAATCAAATCACCGTCCACTTTCGATGACATTAAGGCCTTAGATCCTTCTTTTCATATCAATCTTTAGCGGCCCTCATCTCACTCGCGTTACTCCTCATCAACTCCGGAAAACGGTACGCTCGTCATTCGCGGCATTGCAGATAGACAAGCTGGTTGAGCTTCAGCCGCGACACTCGACAATTTACACTCTCCATTCACATCCCTACGCTTTGTCGTGTTAGAGCGAGCGCGTAAAATGATGAAACGGAGCCCCGTAAACCGGTCAGCGTTGTAAACAGCACGTACGTGGTGGCGCACACTTACGCGCCGTTCGTGATGGTCCGCCAGACGCTGGCGGCAGCCTCGCTCCGCCGGAAGTCTCCGAGACATACGTGGTTGCCGTCGTATTTGCCGCGCGTCGTATGTACGTACGACGTGCCTAATGACACCGTCATTGCTACGCTGCCGTTGATAGGCTTCATTTACACGTTCGCGTCCACCCGCTGCCGCTTTGGCAGCGCCAGTCGTTGACGCGACTTCGTCACCCGGCGATTCGTGCGGTGAAATGTCTCCAGGGGCGGCATCCCACGGTCACCCATTCGTCATATCTCTCTCTCGCTCTCTCTGTCTGTCTTCCGCCCCCTCTTCTCGCCACCCCCTCTCTCTCTCTCTCTCTGCTTTTCTCTTTTTACCCCCTCCCCCTCCCCGCTTCTCCAGCCGCCGCTAGTAGAGGGTTGACTCTATATACCTACCAAACACCCCGTTTATCTCATCGGCGACTATAGCGCGCTCGTTTCGTTGTATCACGAAAACGCACCCTCTTATCTCGATTTCCAGTGACGTTTATCGCGTAACGCCCGCACGAAAACTCTATCCTTTCCTGATACACGTTGACACCTTATCTTCTTCGCTAATCTCGATTTCCGTTTGTCTCTGGCGTGCCTCGCGTATCCTCACGCCGGGATTTTCCTTCGCGCACACGGATATCTCTCTCCCACCTTCCGTTGCGCGTCTCAAACGCGCTCGTTTCTGGCGTCAGCGGAATCACCACCGACCGGTGTTACGACGATTGATTATCGGCGAGTCTGGGGGTGGCCGGGGGAATTGTGCGAGGGGGGAGGGCAGGTAGTGCGGGGTTGCGCGAGGGTGGCATCGCGAGATGGGTGGCATCATCGCGATTCATGGCTCTCGCGGCGATAGAGACAACCCTACCATCAGCCGGTTCTACAATTCTGGGAGCGGGTGGGGGGGACGCAGCGAATATCGCATTCTCTGTGGCCTTCCTCTTCTACGTGCCTCTGTGATTCTTCCTTTTCTGACCAATTGTCGCGGCGCTGCCGTCGACTACCGATCAACCTGGGTATCTTGCTACCACTCGCCAGCAGTACGGCGAGCTAGCAGGATGGATCACTTGCGACGAGTGCGATTGCGCTCTACTCGAAGGAATTTTGTCCCTTCTCGATATCAGCGTTCCTATTGAAACATCTTTGTACGTCTGATTCCATGTATGTGATCACTGAACGATCGACTAACTTTTTGAATTTTTGCACTCACGCTAAGACTCACCGATTGAGTAATTCTCAAATGAAATCAACTAGATACAAGTCTCTGTAAAACACAGCATTTCTCACGGTTTATTCACCAAGATTGAAATTGAAAGCATCCTTTCTGTTCTTTTAAATAGAGTCAAGAGCTCTTTGTATCACTGATGCAGCAACAATAGGCTGATGTGGATGTAAACATAAACGTGTAACGAGTTTTATGAGAATATGAAAATACGATGCTACCATCTTTGTGGATGCATCGCTGACGCTGGATTAGGAGGATGTGTCAGCTGGTCCTTCATGATGCCTCGCACTTGCGCGCAATGTATATGTAGAGAGTATGTGAGTGAGTGAGTGAGAGAGAGAGAGAGAGAGAGAGAAAGGAAGGGGAGGGAGGCAGAGAGAAACACAGAGAGAAAAGATGCAAAGCGTGCACGTTGCGTCTTTGTATGTACGCGGATACAGGGCGAGCGATCGCTCGGATACTAATGTAAATTAGAAATCTGTTTAAGAGGTAATGATCAATACATAACTGGCGGCGGCAGCGTCGGGGTAGCAAGCGCAGACGCTGTGTAGAGAGAATCATTCGATAAGTGTTATACGTGCTCTTTCAACTAGCGAAAGAGTGAAGAGTGCACGCGACGAAGGGTTTGGCCAAACATTCCGGGGTAGTCGAGACGTGCTACCCCCTACGATCCTCGCGCCGCAACTATCCTCACCCTCGGCACGACGCTTCCTTATCAGCAGACGCGCTGCGTTGGTACACGACCCGTGTCTTGCAGCTGTCAGCGCTATTCGGATATTATTATCGATCGTCAAGCAAAAGCATCAACCAAGCACGTAGCGCTTAATAGAATACGGCTGCATCGGCACACAATCGTGGGGTGGTTAGGAAGATTCTCGCAGAATTTTACTGAATGGATAATATCGGAATTTTCCAATGGATAATATCTGGGTGATTCAGAATATTTTTGTGACAAAATACCACTCGATGATGGATAACATCCAATTAATAATATAGTATCTATTGATTCGTTTATCAATAGTATTCTTCTTAATCGCTCGATAAATTGCAGATTATTTGGGTTGATATAATACAACTATTATAATATATTTCTAGTTGTTTTTATAATACGATGATCTAATTATACTTGGAGTAAATATTTTTTTAATGAAGAAAATTGTATTTCACATAGTAGCTCTTGGTAGATTCATTTCATTTTTTGTATTCATATACATATATTCCAATATGTATGAATAATACATATATGGAAGTATGTGTGATTATTTTTTTAGAATATTGTTTAACGTCGGATGAAACTAAAATTTTTTTTTCCATATAAATTTTTCTGTATCATTCGATTTATCAATTCATAGATGAGTCATCGTATAGCCGTTATTAGTGTGCAAGTAAAAGACGACGTGCGACGTATTATAAATTAATTATAACCCCGCTGCAGAGTAATTAATCAACGATATTACAAGCGCCGGTAGAGATAAAACTGTTCCAAGCGGCAAGTCGGCAAGTTCATTAATTGTCTTTGAAAGTTTGAAAGCCGCATCGTTTCAAAGATTATGACACCTCTTTTTGCGGCATGTCTCTTTCTTTTTTTCTTGTACATCGAACGTATAATAGTCATCATGATAATTGATCGTATTTAGAGCGTTAACATAAACTGGATCACTTGTAGTCATTGCTTTAAATATTTCAATACTTTTGCGATCAACAGCGATGCCGAAGTTGAGATGAACTTCGTGATAAATCCCGCAAAGTTTATCGAGCCGAGTGGAAGGACAAAGGATATCGGGAAATAAAACGGGAATAATCGATGCTGGCTTTGCTGCTAGCTGTTCAGATGTCGCCAGCGATACGAAATTGAGAGTCATAACGAACCTGTGATTGTGATCCAAGGTGGAGTGATCCGCCTTCGGCGCTGAGGATACCAACGCATGTGACGCTAGCGCATGTGCGTGTGGACTCAGACCAGGATGCGGAGGCATAAGGCCCGTCGGTGAAAACCGATAGAGATCACTGAAAAATCAAGACACAGTTTAATCTCGAAAGTTACATTTCAAATAATAAGTAAACAAGCGCGGCGAAAACAATTTTTAACGATATTTTCAAATATTTTTTCACTGACCTTGGTAAACTAGAACTTGTGATGGGTATCGTGGGATATGGACTTCGGAAACCCGCATTTGCCGGCGAGATGGGATACATGCTCGGTGTGTGCCTGTAAATATTTATTTAATTAAGTTTTTATCATTGCCAGATGTGTCTCCGGGATGAGAATTCCCGTGATATATTTCCTCGAAATTTTAACGTTAACGGGGAATTTTCTAGGAAATTAATTAATACATTTATATATCTGTTCATTTTATAATAACATCGACCGTTTTGCCATATCTGGCATGAAATTTTTGAATAAATTATATATATGGGAATTGCTATTTAAAATTACGTAAATTAAATTTTAAAGTCTGATAAATTATATATTCAATGAAAAAAAAAATCAAAATATTTAAAAATTTAATTTTTAACAATTAAAAAAGAAAAGAATAAAATGAAAATAATTAATTGTAACTTAAGTATCTTTAAATTTGAAAATTATTTTCCTAATTAAACTGATTAGTCATTGATAATAACTTATTCTTATAAAATGTATAATTTTGTAATATCGCAAATACGATATCAACTAATTCATTGAGTAAAGTATAATATGTTATAATAATATTTGTATAGCATCGCGCGACCAACAATATGGTTAATTAATTAAGATTAACAAACTGTTTCTCGCAAAAGTAATTAGTTTGTATCTCCTGGTTCGCATTTCCAAGTTGTCAAGAACACAGAGACCAGATCCATGCACTTCGCGTAATAAAAACGCTGCTTTCTCATTATTGCAAGTGGCCTCCTCTCACACTCTTCTCTTTTCAAGGATGGGCGCCACCCCTTGAAAACCGCGTGAGTTAAATTCTGTGCACGCTGTGATGTCGACGTCCAGTTTTCCGCGCGCTAGGTTGTCGACCGAATAAGGATATTGTGGATCCTTCTAATTGAGAAGAAGAAACCTAATCATCCGTGGAAAATCACAATTTGGGATAAATCGGGCGTAAAGCAAATAACGAGCAGGGGAAACGGCGGAATGAAAACCTGATCGTAAGGACTTGTCTCCTTGCGAAAAGAGGGTGACGTCTATGAGGACTACAAGGATAAGGCAAAGTTCCGTATCCGATGTAATAGACCGGAACTGAGGACGACTGACCAGCAGCCCACACTTATCCAATGTCCAGATTTGTTCAGAAAACTAAACCGGAATGTGAACACATCGTATCTTATTTTAAAGATAGATAATTTTATAATTGACATTGTGAGAAATACCACAATAGACGAAGAAACTGTTAATAAAAAACTTTAAATATCGCAAAACTCCGACAATCGTTATTAACGAGAGAAAATTAACAAGATCAGTGGACATATTTTGAAGCATAGAAACTACCATTGATGATAACGACGTTTATCATGCAAATTCGCATACTTTACATTAAAAAAGAATTTACTTTAAAGCGAAAAATTTATTGAGAAGGCTCGTCTATATATAACGTTTTCCTTGTATTTTGCTGAATATTTTATGAATATTTAGTAGCCTTTGTGCACAATTCGCGATATACGATCTGCGTTGAATGTCGGGATTTTAAATCGCCAAGAATCGTTTCGGCATGCGATCGAAATCCGATGCTCTCCATTACTTTTCATTTGCGTTACTGTGAAACACGAATCGATTATTTAACGTGTAATTAATATAAAATATAATGTACATACACACACACACACACACGCGCGCGCGCGCGCGCGCGTGCGTGTATGTGTACGTATACACGCGGGAACGTAAAACGATTCTTGTTCTATGGATGCGTGCGTTTACAGCGCAAAATTGAATATCGCTCTCAACACACAGTTGAATATATGTTTGATTAAAATTGAAATAATATTACGTTATATTGTAATGCAACCAATCGTAGAATAACATGGATGTAATTGTATTGCACATTAAATTGAAGCTTTTATCAAACTATATGTATTTATATAAATATAAAAAATAAATAAATAAATATTTGACGTAAAATTCTATTCTTAAATGATAATAAATATGTTTCTACTTACCAGGACGCGACTTGTGTCATTTCTGGACTAAGCATGGGATATGGATACTGGCCCGTTGAGAAGGGGTACATTGGTGCTCTCGTGAGACCTACAACAAAATAATAAATTCATCGAAATACCATTTTATTTTAAATTCAATATCCAAATTCAATAAAAATTGTTTCCTCTACATATTTCTAGTTATATATCATTTTTTCTCCATTTTGCTAAATTTCTTGGAGTGAAATCTCCACAAAAGAGTTAAGATACCATCACTATTTATAAGAGTTGCAGATTTGAACAAGAGTTGCAAATTTTCATTCTTTTCTTGGAGTGAGATTTCTTTCTTTTAGTATGTATCTTCCTCAAAAAAAAAAGGAGAGAGAAAGAGAGAGAGAGAGAGAGAGAGAAAAAATCTTATTGAAGAATGCATATTTTTCATTTACTGTTATTCAACAGTATTTTAACTCTTTTGGAATGAAATTTTACTTCAAAAAATTTAAAGAGTATGCAGGATCATCAAATATAACTCATTTTTTATCCTTAGAACTTTTTTCATGTCCCTTCACTTTCATTCATCTTGTGTTTTCTATTTTTTTGATAATCAAGATTGAAGTTCTCGTGAATTAATGTGCCGAACGTTAGAACACAAAATAAATCCGCTATTAATCACGGGTGCATCTCGTATATCCGTGGTTAACGGTGTCATAACGCGTTTAATTCTATCATTAGCTGGCAGTGTGACCAATTTTACGGTCACTAAGTGATGACGTTCCATTTAATCGCGGTGAGATCACGAAAGACCGAATCGGTAACAAATGTATGTACGGAAATTCCTATATTTGGGTAGTCGCGACAAACACAAGCGAATTTTATTGCAGATGCATTTTTCTAATTTTTTAAATTTCTAATCTATTAAAAAAAGTCTGTAAAATGTATTTATATTCTATTTATAAAAGCTGAAAGTTTTTCATTTATCTCTTATTAAAAGTAAAATTAAATATGAATAATATGCGTACGATTATTCCAAATAGAATAACGATTTTTTCATAATATTATAAGTTAGTAATGTTATTATTGTATTATGGATATTAAAAATTTGTAATTTTGGATATGTGATATACAAAACGCATACACCAAGAGAACTTCGATTCGCATGTTAATAATTAATATGTACGGAATAAACAGTATCAAGACGAGATCAAAGAAATATTGAATAAGAAAATTATGCTTTTAATATCGTAAGTTTGTAATATAAACATACGAAGCGACGAGCTTTCTCTCTTTCGTAGCGAGAGAACGAGCATTGATCAGCATGCACGGCCGCACCCTCTGTAACTAGCAACACGAAGTGGGAATGCACACGCCATCGGGATCGTCGTCCAGAGAATAGTCGTTGTTGAAATTTAATGCCGTATAATTCATTCCAGGCCGATGAACGATATCGATATCAATACCATTTTTGAATAATTGCGATCGATCAAATCCACGTTACATTGAGTATGAGAATTGAGTATATGGAATAGTTCGTCAGGAATTTGTTGAAAAAGCTTATCTGATTGTTTCTGAACACAAAAAATTAATATCCGGTTCTACTAATGTAGATTAACTTTAATCTCAGTTCAATTTACTCTTCTATTTCTTAGAACTATTTCAAAAAGATGAGTAAATCGAGATTAAAGTTAATTTTATTTCTCTGCACACAGTCGAACGATGTATGTGATTGAACATCGGGCGATGTTACATAAACAATTGATTTACGACTGTTTTGTGAGGGAAGCTCATAAGAAGTTTGTATCACAGTTTTTGTTTTAGGAGCTCCGCACAATAAAAGGAACAGAGAACAGAAAATAAGAATTTCAACCTATCAGAACTATGTACTTTAGAAATACATGATTTCTGATAGGTTGAAATTTTCTGTTCTCTGTTCCCTGTTCTTTTTATTGTGCGGAGCTCCTTATACTGAGGATGGCCCGAATTGGAACCCAAACGTCTGTGAGGTTTAACAATACGATTTAACGATTATATATTTACGCACCTTTATCTGCGTTTGATTCTTACTGCCATTTTGAGTATTATTTTATGTAAGAATCCTACGAGATAATTTAATTTATTTATAAAGTTAATTTACATTGATAGAAACAGGCATAAATGATATTGCTAAATAATTCTATTTTTTGTTAAAAATAAAATAATAATCCACAAATTTTTAATTACTAATACTTTATAATAAAACGTTTATTACTAATATTTTAATTATTTGAACAATTTTCCTGTTAAACATGAAACTTGCAATTTTAGCAAAAGCACACATATCTCAAATCAAAGATAGGTTTAAAGTTGCAGCACTCGGATAACAAATTGTAAAATTAGATGTACATAGCTATCACAGGTTGAATAATGGACAAGGTATATCGCTTTTACATTGGTATCTAATGTAACTAGTACGTGCCGCGGAACCGATCACGGCTTCAAGAGAGCTCGGGAAATGTTGGGCGCGGATATAAGTGGGGTGCCTTTGGCGAAGTGTAATTGGCTTCATAAGGGTCGACGAGAAGCGCCCGGAATATCGGCAAGCCTGAAACCGCTTGACGAGGCCAATACGTCTCTCTTCTCTCTTCTCTCTCTTCTCTCTCTTCTCTCTCTCTCTCTCTCTCTCTCTCTCTCTCTCGTCACCATTCCCTTTTTCTCTTTCTATGTCATTCGGCGAGTATAGTATACGCGAACGGATTGGATGGACTCTCCAGTTTGTTTCCACCCCGTTCCTTTTTGCGTTTTGCGGGCGATCATGTCCCGAAGGCATATTCCCCGTGACAATCTGGCTCTTCTCTCTCATCCCCTCGCGCGTGCTGAAATCGGTCAACGCGTGGTTTTCTCCGGATAGGGCCACTCTCAATCCCCAACTCTATAATGACTGTCGACTGATCGACCGTAAAGAGATCGGGCTTCCGTCTCCCGTTTGCGTTGAAATAACGAAGCACGGTTACATTTCGCGAAAACAATTGTGATTTTGAATAATCATGGCCGTGTTCTATATTTTTTTCTATTGTCACTTTGTGTATATAGGTTGATGATAAATAGCAAAAAGTAGTGTTTTGTCACAAATGTATATTTCTTTTTAAATAATCAGATTAGTCAAACGATTCTATTTCTTTTTTTTATTATCTTTTTTTTGTAGTCAGATTTGTTATCGCTTTTGAGAAACTAATATATTAGTTTTATTTTACGATCTTATTTGTATTACCGACAGAAAAAGATAAAACGATTCGACGACGTACGTAAAACTCGCGGATGCTGAAGCTTTTTTGTGCAATGGAGCTACTTTCGATCTTCGCATAACGACGATTAGCCACTCGACTGTAACGAGACCGGGCTCCCACTCAGCCCCGGGCTTTTAATCTCATTTGAATAACGAAGCACACTCGAGCCCGTGAAAACAATGGCTGCCGAAACGAAATTTAATCCCACGTAAAAGTAATAATCCGATATTTTATCTTGCGCACACGAATTTATGTGTCGCGTGCAACACGATATATCCGTCTATATGTCGCTTTATGTAGAAATCATGAAATAAATTACACATTATGTATATGCAAACATTCCAATTTTTTTTATATGTTATTTTTTTTATATGTTATATGTTTTATAATAGTTTTTATAATAGTTTATGTTATTTACTTATTGATTTCAATTTACTTCTTTTATAAAAAGATTTAAAGTTTAATATCGCATCTATGATGATAATGCAGAATAAGACAAAATGAAAAAATAAAATTTCTCGTATTCAATGAACTTCCAAGCAAGCGATTAGGAACAGGCAGGATTAAAATCGTGCAAGCATGACTTAATTTCAGTTAATGATAAAAAAAGCTGAAGGCGAGTCTGTTCAATGCTGGTTAGATCGAAATGCATATTCGTTAGAGCACGAAAGCTCTATTCGTCTGACATGATGCCAGAGAGAGAGTTGGACCGAAAATTGGGAGTATAAGTACACAAAAAAAAAGAGCAGAAAGAGAGAATGAAAAATATAGAAGAAATAGAAAGAAGAGACAACGAAGGATCAAGAAGATGCGAACGAGAGAGCGAAGAAATGGGAGGATAACGAAAAGGGGTTCCTCGTAATATCCTGACGAGTCCGTGGATTCCGTCATGTGTGCTTAATCACTTTCCAGTTGACTCGGCAGTCTGCAACCCCATTATCGGCATCTCACCATCCGGAAAATTACTCTTTTATTCTCGAACAACTCAGGTTCCCGATGTTCCGTGTACCGCGATATTCTCTTTTTCTTTCTTTTCTTTTTCCATTTGCTCGCCTCACTCTTTTCCTGCTTTCATCCAAGTCGATTTTAACTCGGTCGGTGCTCGAGAGTTCTTTTTTCCAACCGTTTCTCGTAGCTTCGTCCAACCTCGCGAGCGAGCGAATTCGTCTATTTCGCTCTATTAAACCTTATCGTCATAAATTTTATCCATCCGGCTTCGGGAAATCGGTAGTACAGATTCGGAAACTAAATGAATGCAATGGAAATAAGGATGGAAGCGATAAAGCAGTCTAAAAAGAAACACAGCAGAAATTATCTCTTTTTTTCTTTGAGAAATTTGATCTATTAATAAATATAATTATCCAATTTTTATTAATATTTTATTTCTTTTAATTTTCAAAAGATGATTTTCAAAAGATTACATCAATACAAAAAAATTTGATAAAATCATAAAAAATAAGAAATACATAGTCATAATTTTTACAAACAATTTTATTGAAATATATTGAGATATTATTGAGATAAGAGAGCGTATTTAAAGTTTTATACAAAGGATTTAATTAAGTCAATCTTAATTAGAATAAAAAAGATTTTTTTGTGCAATGGACACAATATCATGAAATTAACATTGCATATCTTGGGAAATTTTGCATTTAATCGTCAGAATTTTTCTTTAAATAAATCGAGAACTTTAGAATTCATTGCGAAAAAAGCAGAGAACATAATTTATTAAAATTTTAAATGTGTAGTTACCATTGTTGTTCTTGTTGGAGGTAAGAAAAATAAAATAAAGAATTATGAAAGCCAAAAAATTATAACAGTCAGCAATGGAAATAAAATGCGTATTATCAACATCAGAGATTTAATAAGAAGCTAAGTAATAAAAAAGTAAAGTGCAGACGATACAAAACAATATTTGTGATTATTTATTTTAAGATCGGTATCTAAATCTAAATCCTTCCTCGTGATATTGATTTTACTCGAAACAAATTGATGTTATTCAATATTAATGTTAAATAAATCTTAATTGAATAATCAATCAAGGTTTTATCCGAGTTATTTTTGTAAAACACGGTTTTAATTATCAACTTATTAAGGTTATTAGCGAACTTTACTTTGCATACTCGGATTGCAAAATACAGAATCGGTGTTAATTATAAATTGCCATCATTAATTACAAACTACGAGAAATAATACTTTTTCCAGTATTGGTGAAACAAAAGAACAGCATAAATCGAAAAAATTCAACAAAAAATTAGAATTAATCACTTTCCAAAACTAGGAAATGTAAAGATTTTAACATAAAGAATAGCGAAAAAAAAGGCATAGACAACAGTATAATAAAAAATAAAAAAATATAAAAGAAAGGAGAAAATAAGAAAAAGAAAATATGATGGAAAAAAGAGAAAGAGAGAAGCTAAGCGGATCAATGGCGAAGCCTTGTTGAAACGGAAGGATTGTTATTGGTGGCCGTGTCTCCACCCTTTTTACGTTTCATTCCCTCCTGTTTTTTCATTTGCGTTACCACTTCCCTTTCTTTTTCCATTCGCTATCTCTTTCGCTTGTTCTTTACCATGAAGTTTTTAAATAAACACGCGCAACAGAGATCGAAAACTAAAGCTACTAATTAAAAATACATATACATTCATGCAAGTGAGAAAATAAATCGTAGAATCATAAATCAAAAATAAAGGAAAGAAAAATGAAGAAGAGGGAAAGCAGAAAAGAGGACAAAGACATTAGAAAATAGACACGAAGAAGATAGAGTATAGAGCAGAAGTGCAGAATATAGAGTGAACGAAAGGAAACAATTTTTTTACCGCGATATTCAACTGCTTAGTAGCAGGGAAAAGATTGAGCGAATAGGTGGTGGGTTCGGAGAAGTATTAAGAGAAATTGTAGTTTCGGAGGGAACAAAGGAAGGGACATGAGGCAGGATGAGGTCGAGTCACAGTTTATTTCGCGAAGAGTAAAGATGGAATGCTCTTCCCTTGTTTGCAAGACAAAGAACCAGAGCCGCCGTGCATGCATAAATGCTATCAACATCATCTACATATTTTAGAATTTAGAGGGGATAAAGAATATCTTATTTGTACTTGTTTATAGACAAAATGATAAGAAAACTCTTTTTCTTGACAAAAATATTGAGAAAGAGTGAAGTGATGAAAACTGTGTCCTAAGATAAGTTAGCAGAAGCAATGTTTAAAGCTCTTTCAGCGATGTCGCTACTTAAAACTTTTCAAGGTTGCACCTAAGAGCTAAGTTGGTGATGTATTAACAATAAAACCATAATAATTTGAAGTTGATAGAAGAGGAAAGCGTTTCAAGAATAGAATAAGAGCGGAATCTATCAAAACTGAATAGGCGAATAGAAACTATCTTGACTTAGAGGAAAGCTGCATACTTGTAATGCCTAATGGAATGAGTTCCCCTGAGCTTAATGAATGATTCTCCCTTTTTCGTTCATACTTGACGCCAATTTGCTATTATCCTTTCTCTCTCTTTCTCTCTCTCTCTCTCTCTCTCTCTCTCTCTCTCTCTCTCTCTCTCTCTCTCAGAGAGATTCTTTTTAGAGATTATGCCGCCCTCTTCACAACTTCTATTTAAATCTCGACATCACCATGCCTCTTGACTTGATAAGAAATATTCCTTCAATTAGATACCGAAGTTATCAATGCAGACTTTTCAGCTCGACTCGAGAGCATCGAAAGTATACTCGCGATTAGTTTAAGAGAGAATCAAACGTACTTGACAATAAAGACATTTCCATAGTGTGCAACATGCAATATCTGTATTCAGAGATTTAAAAAAACTTGATACCTGTGCTACGCCAATAGGAACTGCTATGCTCACTGCAGATTTATTTATATTACACGTAATTCGGTATTTCGTCTACCGAATCGCTATAACGAAGATTAACGTGTGTTAACGTGGTTGCTAACGGTTTGCGCAAAGGCCAGACACAATCTGGGCTCGCTTGGGTCGGGTTGTAACGGCCATGTTAATATTTGCGCAGCTCGATACAATAAAATTATATATAAAGCTCTCTCGACGGGGCGGAGCGTGTCGATTACGCGAGCGGGGACGAGAAGTATTCCATCAATTACAATTCGAGAGGAACGTCAATATTTGGCCGGACAATAGCGGATTAACTTCGTGAAAGAATTGTTGATTCAACCGATACGTATTGGGGATATCGAGACTATGAGCGTATTGTCAGTAGTTGAAAGTTCATGTTGAAAGCGTGGAGTGAGATTTTATATTATTAATGGCTGTATATTTGTGATCAAGATATATTGCGAAACGATATGTAAACAATTGATGTATATCGTTTAAAAATATATAAATTTGTAATCTTTGTCTGTCAATATCAATACGTTACTTCTGTGAATGTGCTACTTCGCATATTTTATAATACTATAACATAATGATTATAACAAGTTTTATGAAAGTTTTTTTCTTACTTGGTTTTAACAAATCAATATTAATGACAAAAATTAATCATTTCGGGATAGTTTAGTAGTAAATATTTTAATACAATATATATCAATAATTCAGTTTGTAAATTCATAGCCCTGTATACATGATTACATACATGATTACATACATTCAAATCAGAGTTGATAAATGTTACGTTTTTTTAAAACTAAGCATTGTAATTTTTTTAAACATGTTTTGAACATGTTTTAAATAGTATTTTAAAAAACATGCTTGAAACATATTTAAAATATTAGTTTAATATATTTTGAATATGTCTATAACATGATTTTTATCAACCTTAATTCAAATAAAATAAAACCAAGTAAAACTTAATTTTATTTTAAAAAATATAAAAGATTCAATCCTTCATTGACATACTGAGGATGTAAACCACTCACAAAATTATTTTAACTTTCTGAAACTCAATTTTCTTTTATTTTGTAAAACAAAATACAATATGTTTATAAAAAAATCTCTGTTTTTTCAATTCCCAAAATAGCCTACATTCAATATGCAAAATAAATATCCTTTATCCAAAATCAACTTACAAACTAATTTTTTTTTCAAAGTATCACATCTAAACAACAATTCTATAAATTTTTAACTGTTAATATTGAATTGTTTAAAAGTTAAAATTTTTCAAATATTTTATTTATTTTTTCTTTATTCATTGAATTCAAAAATTTTTTTCACAAAAACTGTGAAATGAAATTTCAATCAAAAACTATTTGAATGTGTTCTATAGATCTTGAAATTGATCCATAATTTTTTTCATATTGATTGGATTGTTTAAATAAGAATGTCAATTGTTTAAACATTACTCTGGATGTGAGCCACTCAGTGTGTCGAAAAAGGTGTGTGTCAACGAAGGGTTCAGAATGATTTCCACTTCATCTTTAACTAAGACTAAATGTAATTTCTCTATGCCCAAATTTTATTAAATTCGTAAAATATAACAAACGTTCCGAGGTTATAACTTTGCAAAGACTAAATATGTATATCAAATAGGAACAATTTAACTTATCAATGAGAAAGCACGCTTTTTAAAATTTGCAATTGTGTATTCAATTATGTATGACATGAAAATTACAACATGTTACGAAGATTTTGATTATCAAACACATTAAGTTGCAACAATTTTTGCAAAATCCTTCAACTTAATTCGAATAAAAACGATTATTAGTAAAATCAAACGAAAAAAAAGAAGTTGATCCATGAAGATTATTCTAGCAAGAAAATGTTTCTAGGACTATGTAAATGATTGCTAGGGTAACCCTATTATTATATCTGTCCCTATTAGTGTAGTTTTGTAGTTTTAAATAAGCCAGTAAAGAAAATTAACATAAATAAGAAAAGAATTGTTTTTATTTTTAAGTTAAATTATTAATATGATATCAAAGATAGTATTTCACTTTTTAATTATTATTAGAGTACCTATAATAAATATTTTTCGAAAGATACATATCATAGTTTAGAAGAATTTACGTGAGTCCATCGCAAAATTTTAAACTTGTCCCTATTAGTGTGTTCTACATTGGAGCAAAGAGCGTTATGTCATGAATGTACATTGAAATTGTAAGTATAATTAAATTGTAAGTATAATAAATTATGTAAGTATAATGTAAGTATAATTAAAATAATAATTTATGCAATATTAACTAAACCAATTAGCTTATATCTATTATCTGTTTTAGTAATTGTATATTAAAATGAGTCAAATGCAAAAAGGCATAGAAATTGGGACATTAATAAAGCCATCGTCCCTTGAAGGAGCACACTTTCTAATAGAGATATTAACATCTTTAAATTAAAAAAATATGATAAAAAAAAATTTAAAAAACTGATATTAATTCAAATAGATTTTAAGTAGATTTCAAATATAATTTCAAAATTAAAAAGCTACAAAATTTAATAATTAATTCAGTAAGGAGTAAGTTGCCTTAAAAGCACACTAATAGGGACATCTATTCTAATAGATAGTCGAAAAGTACTTACCAGCCGCGGCGGCCGCCTTACCCGCGTCCAATGCGCCGTAGGGAGGTATACCCATATGGGCGGGAGGTGGTTGGGTCAGGTGGTCTCCATTTGGACAGAAAAAGGATAATCCACTTGGATGCGTCCCCGCCAGACCCATCTTACTCGCCTATAAAATAAAATTTAATATGTAACTATCATATTATTTTCCTTGACAATATGTCGATATATCAAAATCTTAGTGCGAGAGTGAATATTATTCTGTAATTTTTTGGAATGTTGTATAGCTTCGCATGAGAACGACGTAATCGACAGATTGCGAGTTCAAATTCCGCATCCCATATATATATATATAT